GAATATATTAGGTTGTTCGGAAAGTAATTTCGTTTTTTCCCAACAGAGGATTTATTGTATTTTTTCACAGCCAATTTCACACTTAAGCCGCATAATCATTATATATTTTGACAGCTGATATAGCAAGGCTTGCTTGTGAAAAAAGTTCGATTGATTCTACGCAGTAGTTTTTGATTGATGCCCTATCAAATATGAAAGTGAAAAGCAGCATTTTCGGCATATTTTACTTTTTTACTATCGAAAAGGTAAAAATGCTGATCAAGCAAGAAAAAAATTATCCGATGTGTATGGAAAAGATGTATTGACAGAAGGCCAGTGCCAAAACTGGTTTGCAAAATTTCGATCCGGCAATTTTGATGTTGAAGATGCACCACGTTCTGGAAGCCAGTTGAAGCTGATGAAGACACAATAAAGGCATTAATTGATGCAAACCGGCGAATAACAACTCGTGAGATCGCTGAGAGATTAAATTTATCGAATTCGACGTTCATGATCATTTGAAACGCGTCTGATTGAAAATCGTCTTTCATTTTCATAAGAAAAAACGAAATTACTTTCCGAACAACCTAATATATATAAGAAGATTTATATAATTTATTTTAGGTTTTGTAAATTTGTATCCTCTTTTTAAATTTTAAACATTAAACAAACTTTAACTTTTATAACAATTGTTTAACCAGTAAAAAGATTCTTATTGATTACAATAAACAGATCTTATCTTTAAACTCAATATAAGAACTGAGAATATGACTTTTCAGGAATACATTTGCTCTTTTATATCTTTAATGTTCTTTAAAAAAACAGGTAATATGCATCACAATAATATTATTATCAAATTTTATTTATAATTTTATTACAACCGTAGGTGCTACATTTTATAATAATTGATAATTAACGATCCAATTGGCTACGCAAATTATCATATATGTATGTTTGTTTTATAAGTTTCATTAGGACAGAATTTATTACATCACTAAATTAATCATATTTGATCATATTTAATTAATACCGGCAGAAATTGCGGTCATGATTGGTTAATTTATGAATGTGCGTTGCATTTGTTAATAAAAGAAAAATTAATAACAATTTTGGCTAAAAGAAACCACACAATATAAAGTTTTGAAATAAATATTCAGCCCAATTCAAATAAATGGAAAATCTCAATTAATCGGGATGGGCTGGAAAAATTCAATGGTGAAAAAAAACTATTGTAAATCCGAATTTTATTCAATGCCTTAAATTGGAAAAGTTATAAAAATAATGCTATAAATATATTTATTTGCTTTGTGCAAAAAATTTTCTGCTTTCTTATTAAATCATACCAATTATGATAGTTCAAAGAAAGATAAATCGAATAAAAAAACGAATCAATAATGACAAAACACTTTATAATAGAATCTGTTAATTTAAATTAATATGTTAAAAATATATTTCTAAAAGAAATTTTAGAAATAAAAAAATGTTATCAATTTTATATTAATTTTTGTTTTCATGAAAAAAATATAATAAGTAATTAAAACTTTTTACCAATATAGATGTGGAATTTGCCACCCTGCAATTAATGCGAGGATATTACATTTATTCATCAAGACTATATATTTTCTATATATTTGTTGAATTAATATTCAAGATAATTGTCGCAGACAATAGCGATATAAGCACGCATAATTAATTAACCCAGAACTTAATTGCCTCCTCACGGTAGAAGAGAGAAACAGATGCCATATCATCTGTCTGTGACGTGACTAGACGGGGCTTAAGGCACTTTGTGGGAAGTGGAAGGGGCAAAAGTGTCGACTGTAGATGAATTCCTTGAATGGCATAAACCATTTCGGGACAAGTTTCCCAAAATTATAACTTAAAGCGTCTATACAATTATCTTGGTTATTCCAGTTATATGCGCGTTCACATAAATAAGCGTGACAGTGAGATTCTTAAACTTAAATGAAACTGACGTAACGTTACGAAAGCATTCATCTGTCTATTATTAACAATGTGGCCGTCTTTAGATGCACACTTCCTGAGAAACTTTCGCAAAGTTCCTAAACAAATGAATTGTCTCGCGGTATTGAGAGAAACTTTGTTATATTTAATGAAAATATTTAAATTATTGTACTACAATAAGAATAAATTATAAGTGGAAATTAGACTGATAAGAATAAATTAAATGAGAGAACAAATTCTATTTTCGGTCGAAGTAGATCTTAATATTATTTATTTACGAAAATACACTTTTTAATTATATTGTATAAACTGCCGCTGATTTAATTTATCGGATATAAAACGTAATCTTAAATTGAAAATACTTTCACAAATTGTTATTATTGATCCGCGTCGATTGTTTAAACAATGCTAATAACTGTGCAAAGAACTTAGTGCGAAGAATATCATAGTTGTTGAGCCTACAACTTCCGACTTTCCAAGTCAGGCGTTTTACAAATTCATCGAGACATTTGTCGCAATAACTGGTAACTAGTGAGAGGATATTATTTTTCAATTTTTAATGTCATTTTTAATGTTCCAATTTCAGTGTATAATTGTGTTTCAAACCTGACAAATCAAATTGACGCGCAATTTATAATACTGAAAAATGTAAGCACTTGCAAATTTGCATATGAGTATTATTAAGTATCATGATCTGCTTCGACCGAAAATAGAATTCTTTCTCTTATTTAATAACGAATACGATCGTATTATAAAAAGGTGTTTCTATACTATATACGAATCTTTTAATCATGATTGCCAAGTCGCTCGAACGGAATCATCTTATTGAAGCAAGTTGTTGTTGGAGTCTTCGATAAATATTGTACGTCTGAAGGAACGAAAGCACGCTGCCAGCAATAATCGATATACCAAGCCAATAGAAGCGTGTACATAGCTACTTTTTTTCAACAGCCGCAAGGAACATGAAAAATGTTTCTGTTTATACCGATATCTACGGTCCGCTCGCAAAACCAGCAACGGTTATGAAATTCAAATCGGTTTTCAGTTGAAATTCATCTCTCATGACTTCATGGCAGCATGACAGGTGATTTTCAGCAAGTAGTAAAACCCTCATTCGTGGATCGTAAGTTCGGCTTACCTGATGGTTATGACTCCAAATTATCGTCGACGGTGGTTCAGGCGCGTGTCTCACATAGCACGTTAAATTTATCGTGCTGTCCTTGTTGATGAACAGATCAGGACCGCCGGCTATTTCCGTCACGGGTTCTGCAATGAGGGAGAAAATCGCATGCACAATATTTTCAATTTCCGTCGATTTTCTCTCTTACTTTTAAAACAACTTTCATTTATGTCGCTTTCCCTATGTCGCGAACATTTTACCTTTATTGCAAACAAGAATGTCTGTGACGGAGATTTACTGATGTTTTCTTACTCTCGTAATTATAACAGAAAGCAACACAATAAAAATTCCTTTATAACTTTCCTCTATAATTTTCCCTTTTTTCCCTCTATCGTTATTGAAGATATGAGATTGTCCCGTATTCTTTATACCGTATATTTCCGAACGACTGTTGGAAGGAGAGCAAAAAGTCCGCAGCCGAAATGAAATGCAATAACCGTACACAAGAGGGGATCGCTTGGCATTATACTTACATTATTTTGTGGAAAACAGGTTCGCCCGGAGGAAGTACCGACGGAATCAATTCCGGATGACTGAGAGTTTCCGTTCGAGGGATTCGCTTTGTATGCGATTGAGGAGAAATCATCGAGCCACGAGATATACGGGCTCTTTTGAAACGCCCCACACTAGCTCGCAATGATGATTTCTCCGCTTGTCGCGTCGCGGCGATATCTCGAGGCGCTAAGAACCCGCTTAATTTTCGTGAGGGTGGATACGACGACGTGTCCGGAATTTTTGTCTCGCGTTTCGTGCTCGTAGGAATCAATGACCATGCAGTAAACGTACGCAAGGCAAAAGCATGTTTCTTCCCTTTTCTCCCCTTCCCGCCCTTCCATTAAATCTTGTTGCTGGAAATACCACCTTGGCGAATCTCCGCGTCCGCGGTACACAGGATCGTTACAGTCCGTCGACCGGGATTCTCCAAGTTTCTCGGATTCCCATTGGTGGATCTCAATTATCTGACAAACCAGTTTCGAGACTTCCACCGTCGTTTGCTGACCGACTTGAGAGCAGGGCGAAGATCTCTCTGCGGCAACACAGAGAGAGATCTTCATTTTCACGCAAGGAATACCAAAAGCAAGCGCGAGTGTCGTAGGGAGACAACAGCTTATTATTGTTTCATGAGGCTCGAGACCCTTTCGTTGTTCGCACTGCGACGTTTTATTCCTATTACTGAAGCAATGAATATCTAACTTCTCGATGAAGTGAAATATAAACGGTTCCATCGTGAAAAGAATTTTTCTTTATCATTATTATGACACGTTATTCCGCATAATAACGTTTTGCAATACAGCCATTTGATGATACTCTATACGAGATTACCTCGTCGCATAAAAATTCTAAGCTTACAACGTAGGACATTGTTAAATGAAATTGTTATATACGCTATTTATATACGTAACCTTGTACGTATATACGTTTGCCAGACTGCACAGAAGGAACGTTTTAAGGTACCTAAAAATTTAGCCAGAGATATATCTTATAAAAATAATTTTATTAGATTATTAGAATAATTATGTAAGACGCTCAAGCTAGTTGCTAAAATGTAAAACATTTTACAGCATTGTTCATTATACCTGAGCGTCCTACATAGTTATTTTGATATGATCCTGCAATTATTTTCAAATCTTTATCTAATTAAATTTTTAGATACTTCAGCGAAATCGTTCTTTCCGTGTGCTTTCTCTCTATTTGTTCGTGTTACTTCTGAGAAAAAAATCTTAATTTTGTATAATAATTTAAAATAAACACTATCGTACATATTTTTCTCGCGCAGTTTTTAAAATATATCCATTTTAATCGAGAAACTAACTTATTCATATAAAAAGAATCGCTTTACATCCTTTGATTTAAATGATTAAATTAAATTTGTATAGGTTTACTAATGATGATTACGGGGCGTAATTCTATTCAGTATATTGTTCGCAGCGCTTGGTAGAATATTATTGAAAATTACGGGTCCCAAAGAGCGTATACTCTCTCCGATTTCGCCGCTTAGAAGTCATGGGCATCATTAAGATACGATGTTAACGAGAACACGAGGAGTTTGTCGTTAGCTGCAACTGAGGACGTTTTTGCAACGCTAACGATGTCACGTCGAAATTAAGATCTCGCAATGTTCCGTATTTCCCATCAACATTCAATTATATGTCCTACAATCCATTGACTTTTGTCAGCGGACATTGTTCACTCTAGTCAACCGTCTACAAGCGAAGGAACTTCATTTCCTTCTCGGACATCTCTGAACGACTTCTCTTCACGAACATTCCACGAAGAGACACGCACGACGTCGTTCGTTTTACGATGTACTGCTGGTATCTCGAGAATTCAACGACGTTCTTAGTAGTTGCTAAGAGGAACGATCAATTACTTCGGTAATCGTCCAATTGAACTGGCGGATCCGTTGCGCCGGGAATTCGTCTGTCAATCTTTATTAAAATAATTTATTCATCAAAATATTTTATTAAAAATTAATTTTATTAAAAATTAATTGACGAAACATTTTCATTTGTATTTATTTAGTTGTCAACCGCAAACAATCAAGATATATTAATTACAGTTTAAGTACTTACGAATGTAACAAATATTTGACAATATTTAATTAGTATATGATATCAAATTTTATTATAATACATTATAATAATATTCGCAGTACAATTGTCAAATGTTACTTTTGAATTTTGTTTGCTAACCAAATGCAAACAATGTGCAGTCGATTGTCGCGTCTCTCCGGTTTACCGACGCAAATATATTCATAAAGCATTATGCAAAAGATATATTTTATACTTGACGCCAAGAGTGCTCTTAAGTTTAAGACTCTATAACAGAATCTCTGGCCACGAACGATTTTGTTAAAATTTTACGAGAAAGATATACAAGTTGTATGCTAAGTACGCTAAAATATTTTAAGGAGTGATTCCTTATACAAATTCAAGACGAAACTTTTGTATAACCATATATCCGAAAAGGCTTAGTTTCAAAGATACAAGGTGTAAACAAATTTTTTTTTTCAAAAATTTCGAATTATTTTGATAAACCATTCAAGTTATTTTGATGAACTTCAAACAAAGTTTTATCAAAATAATTCAAGTTAGAGGCGAAATTTTTAGAAAAAAAATGAATTTGTTTTTCAACTTTAACATCCCGGATATCTTTGAAAACTGGATATATGGTTATATAAAGTCTTGAATTTATGTAAGGAATCTTAAAATCTTTTAGCGTAATTAGTATACACCTTATATACACTTCTTTATTGTATATACAGAATGTCCGGATAGGTCAGCGCCAAATTTATTTTCGAACATTTATTGCAACTATCATATTATTTAATAAAAATGATCTTTGAACGTTTATAACTTTTCAATAAAGCATTTTCGGACTTGAGTTTATATGAACTTTCTTCACTTACTCGACCTCATCAACATGTTACATAAGTTTGATCCCACAATCTTTTCAAACACCCTGTACTACGTCACTTTAATTTATACTGTCTCGCTTTATAACTTTAATTAAAATCATATTGTGACAGTAACATAAGTTAGAGTGAAATAGTATATATATGGTATGTACATATGTATAAGTATAGGTACCTTTTTCTCGTGCTTGATTTTGACAAAATCGTTCGTGGACAAACTGTGTTATACAATTCCTAATTTAAGATCTTCGAGATACATTCGACACTGCTTTAGTCTTCTTGACAGCGTGAATCGAAGTATTCCTAAATTTTAGAGGAAGGTGAAAATCGAACCAGCTGTTACGCCTTTAACCCAACCATCGATCCTTTACCTTTGATCGATCACCATCCTGCTGCACCCTTGGATGGAGAGCCAGTAAAATAAATCGAGGGTGGACCGCGTACGTGGTCCGACCGCGACTTCGTCCGCAATTGAATCACCACTCCACCGTGTTGGCCGCAAAAAAAGTCTAACAAGCATGGAAGATAGTAAATCGAAGCTACCTCTACGAAATACGTTCGTAGAAGACGCTAACTTTTTCTCCCAAAAGAAAATTGCAGGTCGTTTGATACTACATCGCCTTTGTATCGTTACCAGATAGCTTGTTACTTTTAGACATTTGTTAGAAAAAGTACGTTTGTACTGTCTGTTCCGTGAATTGGAGATCAACATGTGACTCGCACATCCTGTGATTCATGCATAATATCACCGTTGTAAAATTGACACCTCATTGTCAAAATGTTAATATAATTAATAAAGCACTTTGAAAAGAGTTATAATTAAATGCAAAAAAAAATAATTTGAAAGTATGGGATGTCAACTTCACATTTAATTTTGTCATTTGTTTACTTTGATCAAATGCAGTATGTTAAGAATTACTTGAAAAAAATTACAGATTATTCTAAATTGTATTTAAAAGTAATACAAAAATTAGAGACAGTTAAGCATCT